CGTGTTGAAATACATTAGAAGACTGTTTCTAACGTTTTTAAGTTCATTTCATGACAAGATCGTGCTCAGGTGACATTTACAAGCCCATTTACTTGATACTTGGGAATATACTCTTCTCATTCTTATATCTTGAACTCCTGATGACATTCTTAGAGAATTTCAAAACTTGTAACTATTAATTCTTATTTAAATTCTTGCTCAAGTTAATGATTTGCCTATCAAATGAGTTTGCATATATATCTGCACTTTTCCAACCTGGGAATTGAACTCATGACTTTCAGCGAACCTTATGGTACTTACTGTGTCCACACAGTTTAGATCTACAAATTGATACACCAAGTTCAAATTACATTGAACATAGTTTGTGTTCTTCTATTAATATATTTAGGAAAGGCATGAATCCACCTTTTCCATTATGTTAGGTCAGGGCTTATTCCTTGTTGCTGGTACCATGTAACCTACTACAGTGTGTGACTTGTTATGTAGGGCAGAAAAGAGCACTTGCAAAAAAAAACTCATTTCCTCAAGAAATGCCATGTTCTACCTATCATAGTACCCTGAACATTTAAGTCACACGGTAATCTCAAGTTTGGGGCTACTTTGCAGTGATTTTGCTGCCTCTATAGCACTCAGTTATATCTGACTTTTCAAGTTATCCCCCTTTTAATCTCTTACCTCTTTTTGGCAAAGTATTAGAAGCTCTAATCAATGTTGAATTGATTAAGTATCATACTTCACACGATATCCTTTTGTATAAACAATATGGCTTCTGTTTCTCCAGGTCTACTTTCAATGTGTTAACAGCCATCATTGAATTTGTCTATCATGCTTTAGATAAGAACAACAAAACTTGGGTTATGGCCCTAGATATCACAAAGACATTTGACAGGATTTAGCATGCTGGTCTTCTCCACAAGCTCTAGGGCTATGATGTCTCTGGATGAATATTTGGCCTAATCCAATAATTTCTAACAAATTGTGTAATGAAGGTCATGTTGAATGGACACACTTTTAGTTCATTTTGCATTAATGCAACAGTCCCCATGGATTATAACCTTTCTTTAACTGTTTCTGATCTTTATCAACAACCTTCTCGATGTCACCAATTCCCAACTCGGTATCTACGCTGATGACACAACTATTTAAACCTGTCTTAGAACAAGTCGGGTGGATCTGATCAAGTAAAACTAGCAACTGCTCTCGAAAAGGACCTCCAATCTGTGGTTAATTGGAGAAATTTTAATGCCTCCAAAACAAAACTGCTTTTATTTAATCATCATAGTGAACCTTTTGTACCTGCCGTGGCTGATGCTAAACTCCAAGAAAGCAACTCTTACTGTCTTCTTGGACTCACATTTTTCACTGATATGAAGTGGAGTGGTTATTTTGAATCAATTGCTACATATGCTAGAAAAGTTGGTTCACCGTGTTGTGTCAGACAATTTTTCTTGTCAGAATCCATCTTGCATCTTTATAAATCTACCATTTGTCTGTACATTGAATACTGTTGCAATATCTGGTCTGGTGCTCCTTTTTTATATCTCGAGATACTTGACAAAATTCAAAGAAGGATCTGTAATATAATCGACCCTGACCTGGAATTTCAACTTCAGTTTCTTCCCCATTGACACTGACATGGCTTCCCTCTGTCTTTTCTACAAATATTTTCATGGCATTTTTCTGATGAGCTGTTCACCTTAGTGCCTCAACAACATGAATTTAAGCGTAGTACTAGACTGGCAATTAGGTCTCATCGTTTTACTGTTGAATTTATAAGATGCAACTGTGAGTTCTATTCTAATAGTTTCTTTTCTCGCACTTCTCACCTGTAGAACCCTCTTCTGACTTCTTGCTTCACTGCCACTTACAATTTTCAAAAATTAAATGCAATATCAATAACCATTTTCTTTCTTCCTGAATTCTGTTCCTTTATTATCCTCACTAAAGTCTTCTCAATCTCTTTCATTCCTTATACCCACCCCCCCGTGTCCTAGTGGTATTAACATTTTGAGTGGGGTAAAATGATTAAAAAAAAATAACTAAATGACTAATCTAATGTTAAGTATGAGTGACAATTGTTAAAGGAGTATCATACTAAGTAACTTAAACAATCTGTGTTGGAACACAGCACTGGATTTACTGCAGGAGATTCACTAAATTTGAAATCAGTTCCAACATCATTTTTTCTAGTTGCAGAAAAAAATGTTTTTGTTTTTTTTTGTTACCCAGTGTAATATATTGATTGCACTGAAGAATTTAGACCTCATCCAATAGGTCTCACTAACTCTTATTTAAATTCTATAAACAAAATAAATTCTTTAATAATCATAATCTCATAATATTTGTTTATATTAAAAGGTTTATATAATCTTTGTTTCAGTTGAATCCCAGCTGTTAATCTGAATTTCATACATAAAATACTTTATATCTCCTCATAGATTTTCTAAAAGAACAAAAAATTATACTCCAATCATTGAATTCTTTGCAAACTTGGACCTTTGTTCCTGCAAAAAGATGAAATATCAAAAGGATGGTTTTTTTCCTTGACACTGCTATTATTTTAACTATCTTCACTCCTTGGCAAGGTTTGTTGTTTTAAAAAGTCATGATTAAAATTGTAACAAAAACTAAATATAGGATGAAAGTAAGTTTATATATTTTCTTTGTTCTTGCCAAGGATTGAAGGTAGTTAAAATAATAGTGGTTTCAACAGGAAAGCCATCCTTTTGACTTACATTTTTTTGCAAGCACAAAGGTCCAAGTTTGCTGAATTATCAATGCTAAATTAATACCTAAACACTCCTGTTTGGTACAATAGTCCATTGCTTGAAATGAAACATGTATGGTTATAAATTAATAAATTTTGATAACAAATAAAAAGAATGTTTAACAAAAAAAACAATTACATATACATTTTATAATTACAGTTTTTTTCCCTAAATATTCCTTGCCAAATTATGGTCTCATGTTATTGGGCAGGTGAAGCAGTTGATCTGCCATCGACCAATTTCTTGAAAAAAAGTAAAAGAAATCAAAAAATAGTATAAATACTTATTTTAAAAAAATAGGGAAAAACAATAGGATCAAACACAGTGTATTATATTCTACAGTAGTATAGTACTTAGTGTGGGTGTAACTTACTGTCATAGTTCAAAAACAAAGTGTAGGAAAGGGTCAAGTCAAATCATATTCAATCCTATGATTTGTCTGGTCATTAAATAATTATGCTGGATAATTTGTAGCTTTTCTTGAGCCAATGAGGTCACTTGGCAATATCATCTCTTCTCCAGTCAAATGCAACAGTTTCTAATTGGTTGTATGGAACAAGTGGGTTCATGCCTTTTCCAAGGGCATTAATTTGAAGTAAACCAGAGTTTGAACTCCAATCGCAATGAAAACAAAAAGGACACTCAGATTTAACATCAGAATGAGATAGTTGACATTTCTAGCACACATAATGAGGAAAGAGATCTTAGAAAATTTTATACTCACAAGATAGATTGAAAACAAGTGGGTCAGAGGAAAAAATCAATGCATAACCTACCTAACGAGCTTGTGTAAATGGATAGCAGAACAGGGCTTAGGAGAGATAACAAAAAGACAAAATTTATTAAGATCTACAAAGGACAGGAAATTGTGGAGAGCCATGAACGCCAACGTCCTGAAGGGACACGACACATAGAAGAAGAACTGTTAGGCTCAATCAATGTGTTTATGCACTGAAGGGTAAAAAATTATTGTCAATGTACTTATTACCCTCACCCATCAAATATTATCAAGCATACAACTGAAATTTAAACAAGTACACTATTTCTCAAAATTTGATTTACTCTGGTACATGGCCACAAAATTGGGAGATCATACTTCACTGAACTTTCACATAACGGGAAAAGATCTACCTTGAAAATTCCTAGCTTTTGATGGTCCGCTAAGCTGACAACTGACGTTTTCCATTGATTCAAATCTATGTAAATAATTCTGATCCAGACAAAAGAAAATGTACATTATCAATTTAATGCACAGGATCACAAGTATGGAGTACCCAGTGAGGATTGAATTCACTCCCAACGATCTCCAAGTCCAGTCTCTTTATTTTCATCTGTAAGACGACCTTTGTCAATGTTCATACCTCAAAGAGTGGCCCAAGAGAAATTCATAGTTAACTTCGATAAAATGCTGTACCACATATTTAAGTTTAACTTTTATTGTTGTCATTTGATCATAAATGAATCTATCTGGACACAATTATTACTACTGAGTAGTGAGTTCGATCATCACTCGCTGTCCCATACTTTCGGCCTTGTGTCACATCTAAGCTTTGCTTAGAAAATTGCCAGAAATGATTCTATATCTCTACACATTTGCATTTATTTCGACTGTAGCACAGTGAAATAAAGTTTTAAAAGATAATTATGAAAACAATTATAATTTTTTAAAATTTTCATTAAGCTATTACGGAAAACGTAAAAAATAACAAAAAAAAAACGGAAGCTTTGGTTGTCGCGTTTTTTATTTATTTATTGTTATCTGCACCAATCAGTGGTAAAGATTTAGTTTGAATTCTTAATTCTCACGAAGAACCGTGTTGATGATTATGATGACTGATAATAATGACGATGATAATGAAAGAAAATTTCCTGTGATGATGATTAAATCATTATCATCATGTCAAAATAGCGCAACAATTTTGAAATTTTCTCCCTTTTTAAAGCAACGTTATTTTTATACGTCACTACTTCTTTCTTTTTTTTTAATATATAACTCTTTCTTTCTTTCTGTTTATTTCTTCTTTCTTTTTATCAAGTATCTCTTCTTCAGTATGAAGTGTAAGAGGGTTGTAGGGAGGAATGGTAAATAGGAGACGGGGATGGTGTGGCTAAAATAAAAACAGCTGTTTTGACGGTCCCACCCTAAAATCCCAGAGCAGCAGAAACAAGTTATTTGAAAATAAAGTTGTATGTGCGGTGCATGGTCCGTTGTGTCAGTTAATATTGAAGTTAATGATCCATTTCGTTCTCTTTGTACGTTCACAATTGAGTTCATTACATGTGTAAGAGTCGTCTGAATAAGATTGTGGCGATAATATCCGCTGCATTGAGGGTCTCTTTCATTTCTCCACTCTCTCGGCTTTTGTCTCTACGAATCTTTGATAAGGGGGGCTTTAGTCTGCCCGGTCTGGTCGTTAATATGTCCTTTTGTATTGATAATCATGGTGGCTTTGCAGAATCATAACATAGAGCAGTGATCTTCTCCTGTCGGTGCCCTTCTTAACTCCACCGCCAAACCGCCTCCACCTTAACTTACTTTTCTTTTCTTACTTCCTCTTTCTCCTCCTCCCCCTTCCTCTTTTTCTTTATTGCACCTTCCACCACTATCTGTTTCTCTTCCTCGTCTTCTTTCTCAACATAGTTTTTCTTCTTTTTCATCTTCTCCCTTCACTCCCTTCTCACTCTGTGTTTTTTTTTTTCCTCAGTGAGAGCGCCTTCTACATTTCGTTTACCGTTTATAAAAGTACTCTCCCTATTAGTACCCTTTTCATTCCTCTTCATTTTCTGAAAAGGTAGACACCCTATCTATCTATCTATCTATCTATCTATCTATCTATCTATCTATCTATCTATCTATCTATCTTCTCACTCCGTATTTCCATGTAGCGCCATCCTCATGAGAGTACATCAGTACAATCTTTCAATCTGTTCCTTTTTTTCTCTATCTTCTTTTTCACCCTTGCGTTTTACTTTTACTTCAGTGGCTATTTTTTTCTTCATTTCTCCTAACATTTTTTTACACATATCTTCAGTCCCCTCTTATATTTTCAGTTTTCATCGATGTCTTCAGTTAACTTTTAAAAACAAAATTTTTTCTTATTCTCCCACCCGCTTAAATTTAGTTTCACTTACTTGGAATTATCACTCAGAATAGGATCTTTCTCGGTTTCTTCCATTCACTGTTTTAAGATTTTTTTCTAAAATTTATGATCTCATCTAACACTCAGTTTCTCACGGTCTCTCTCTCTCTCTCTCTCTCTCTCTCTCTACGTTAAACTCTTACTCATTTTCCCCTTCCTCTTTTTCTTTTCGTTTTCCTTTCTCACTCTTTGTACTTCCCTCTGTATCTTAAATTAAATTCATTTTAACTGCTTTCTTCCTCGAACTGATTTCCTAAAAAGGGTATGCCTGCTTTAAAATCAGCTTTCATAATCCTGGTTTTTACCAGGGCTGGAACACTGGTGGAAAAATAAGCAAGAAGACCTAATTTAATTATTACTCTTTTTTTTAAATTCTTCTTAACTGTCACCTCCAAGAATACGAAGCTTTATTTTCAAATCACCATCATCTTTCCGTTTCTCCTCTTCCTCCTCCTCGAATCTTACTTTTTTCTTTCTTTCTTTCAAAAATTACCTTTTTTATTTACCCTCTTTCTTCAAACACTTACTTTCTCTTCTTTTATTTATCTTCTTTTTATCGCCCTCACTTACACTTTCTTAACGTTTTTCTTTTTTTGCATTCTTCCTTTTTATCTCTTCATCATTACCCTCTTCCCTTTTTTCTTTCTTCTTAGTAACTTCTTCATAACATTTTTTTCGCTTAATCCCCTCGCGTTTTCTTTCTTTTTCTTTTCGTTTTCTTTCTTTCGCCCCGTCTCTCTCTCTCTCTCCATTTTATTTACACAACCCTTCATGATCTGTTTTTTCTTCTTAAACTCTCAATACTTCTCTTCTTTATTCTATTGATCCAACAAATCTTTATTCTCCTCTTAGTCTTCTAGCCCTACGCATGTCATTTTTTTTATCTTTTCTCACTCTCTCACTCACTAGTACATACATAGACTACCCCTTCTCTCTCTCTCTCTCTCTTTCAAACATTTTATTCTCCCTAAGCCGATTCTCCCAAACACAGCTTTCTCCCCTATTACTATCACTCTCTCTCTCTCTCTCTCTCTCTCTCTCTCTAGTAATACTGTTCAACAAGCAACAACGTAAGAAACGATGCCACACTTTCTAAATTCCGGTCGAGCCTGTTCAAAACTTTCTTCAAAGAATCCATGACTCTTTGTTCGTCTTCTACTGAATGATTGGTCTCAGACTGTGTCCTCATTCGAACACCCCCATGCACCTTACTTCGACCACGGCGACCACCATCATCACCAGCGCCGCCACCGCCGTCATAACCATCCACCAATCTACCTCCGACCCTGCCTGAATCCTTGCTCAGAATTTTCACTTCCTGATTAAGCCAAGTCCTTAGAAGAAGAGACACTGAAAGGCAGCTGTTTCGCAGGATATGAAAATTGGAAACTATTTTGGGTTGGGGTCGGCAGGGACGTAGCTGGTAAGAAAGAAAAAAAGAGAAGAATAACGAATTTGTAGGGTGACAGAGTTGGTGGGGGTTGAAAGAGAGAGAAAGAAAGAGAGAGAGAGAGAGAAGTTGAGAGAAAAGTTAAAGAAATAGATGGTGGGGTTGGTGGAAGGGAAGGCGGAGAGGAGAAAGTGGATAGATATTGTTATATTATTCAATGACTAAATTTATGGTTTTGTTCATCTGACCAACCAGAACAGCTGGTGTCTTTCTGTTATGATCATTATTAGCTTTTGTAAGTATCATTTCTCTTCTTGACTGTACTTTACGCACCCACCAGCACCCCACGCACGCATGCGCACATATACACAACAAATGCAGGTATGGTCAGGTTTATGCGTACAGATATTATAAACATAAAAACGCTTGAATAAAGTGTGTTTATGTCAACGTAGGAATGTTTTGCCATTTACGAGATGATACCGAAAAGTTCAGGGAACATAAGACGCAACCCACCCTCAAAACCCCCCACCCCCAAAAAAGAAAGACGAAAAATGATAGAAAATGAAGATTTTTTTTATTTTCTAGTGGAGTGATTCCAAGAGATATGTCAAATTCCGATGGGACACGGAAAACACTGAGTAACCTTTGGATTGATCAGTTTTTGTTTTTAAATTTCCAGTACGTTTGGGTAGCGTCTTTCTTTCGTGTGGTCGTGTATATGTATAATGACATATGGGCTAGTATGGGCGGCAACCAGCGGACTCCACAATCAAGGGCCTTAGTTTTGGGCCCCTGAAAAAACTAAGAAAAAAAAAACTAAATAAAGAATAAAGATGTAAGAGTAAGAACAGATGAGATTTGTTTATTTTTAGATTTAACAGGGCTCTTTTGAACTAATTTGAAACAATATAGTAGTGTATTTGGGCCCCTCTAAAATGTTCCATACATCAAAAAAAAGGCAAGCATAATCTAAAATTAAAAATCAGTTTTTTATAGATACGGAGTGGAGGCGAACATACGTAATAAAGGGACTCTCCAAATTCTATTCGCCCAGGGGTCTTTTAAGGCCTGTGAATGAAAATATTTATATCCATAAATGTGTGTTTGAGGCAGGCGCTGAAAAAAATTGGCTCGACTCACCTAGCCAAAAATAAATATTCTGATTAGAAGAAGAGTTGTCAACTCTGTCAAGTTACAATAAAGGACGTAAATAAATAAAAAATATCTATATAAATAATAATTTTTAATTTATTTCCTGCAATATAACTGAAAAAGGCATTGTTTATTTAATCTTCCAGATCTCAACAAAAGACAAAAAGGAAAAAAATTGAAAAAGATAAAAATTATGTACAGAATATTTAGACGTTTCGGCCTTTATATGCTCCGGCCTTCTTCAAGTGATATACGTTGGAATTTCGAAACGAACCCTCATGAATATGACAATAAAGATGAAGACAACAGTCCGAATGATATATAAAAACAGTGTAGTTACAATACCTCATCTCAGAAATACATACAGATCTTAAAATAGTTAGATTTTGGCATCAAATAACCAACAAAGGTGTTAATGCGTAGCTAAGCAAAAACAACCAAACAAAATCATCTAGCCCGAATGGAATGCATTAAATGACATTTTGAATGTCTTTCTATGTCACCTTTAACGTCCGTAAGGCTTTATGCCACATCTAAGCTACGCTTAAAAATACTTTTTCCTTGCTCCTAACGAGTGTGCTGCTTGATTCTGCTTAGCGGCAGAATACAGTGGACACTTATTTTTCTGTAGGATGGACGGGTCCTACTAACATATTTTAATTTGAATGTTTTGTTGTATTTTATTTTCCTTATTGGATCCATCCCCTAGCCCCGCATGAGAATGAATGAGTAAAAAATTGCAATGGATGAATGGGTCACGAATCAGATTAGCTAGGTATAGGATATTCAGTGTCGACCAGCCTTTTCCCCACTTCCATTTTGGCCTTGTATCACATGAAATGTAATATTTCAGAATAAACACTTTTAACGTCCGTCACACGTGGCAAAAAACGTCGGCTCATCAACGAATCACTCGTGTTAGCCAACGACGGAGGGAAATGATGCTTCCCTAATCTTTCAAGTGCGAAGGACGTTTAAAAAAAACAACATTCGAAATTATGGTTTATGCCTGGGTTTGAACATTGACCACTGGTAACGGTGAAGAATACGCGATTACCTCAGTCATCAGGCAGAAATCAAATGAAGAATTTCTGACTACCTGTCGACCAGCTTGGCTGTACGTGGTGAAATGAATATTAGACACGAGACTCAGGATTGGTCGGTGGTGGGAGACGGTGGCTCCCCGGGCATTACCTCTCATTCGAGAATGGAGTCAGGGTCATGACCTTGTGCCAGAGACTCCCCCGAAAGGGAAAATGCCTAGGGGTCTAAAATACTTTTTGTGCGGCTTTAATACTTGACTTTGTGCCACGTTCTGTGCGAGTGGATAGATAGCTGCATGGAAAACTAAAAACTAAAGCAAACGATTCAGCATCTGCAACGGTTGAAATATATATATATATATATATATATATATTAAAGGTACCATTATAATAATTTATTTCACCAGAGCCCGCCCTTTTAAAGGACGCCGGGTGATCAGATAGCACTTCCAAAAACGAAAATTTTTTTTTTTTTTTTTTTTCATTTCATTTTTGGAAGTGCTATCTGATGGTCCGGCGTCCTTTAAAAGGGCTCTGGTGAAATAAATTATTATAACGGTACCTTAAAGTGGTCTGTTTTTTTTAAAATATTAGTTCTGGATTTACATTGAGTTCTCAGGATTTCATCCTCCTTGGGATTACCCATACGGATTACCAAGTTCTTCATAACTTATATATATATATATATATATATATATATATATATATATATAAATGTGTGTGTGCGTGATACAAAATATAGTTTATGATATACTGTATAATGAGTAGAATATCAGGACAGAGCGTGTAAATATAAAAATGGCCTGAAGGTTGCGTTCAAGCATGTTGTCGTCATTGTGTGTTAACCTCAATGTCCACACACACGCATATATATATATATATATATATATATATATATATATATATATATATATCAAAGGTTGATTTTATAATCGAAGTTTAGGTGTGGCACAATGAGGATCGAACTAACTACTCACTACGTAATTATTCTAGCGAGACAAGCTTGCTGACCATTACACTACGTCGAGGTGTTCCTACTTTTATATATATATGTGGGAGGGGGGTGCATACACGCAAAAACACTCTAAAACTCAGGGTCATTCTCAAAAACCATGTTAAAGCGAACTTTAAATCTTATTATTACTTACATAAGTTGTTCCATGATTTTGATTGGTTCTAAATTAAATAAATATTGGAGAGTACTGTTTGTGTTTATTGTTTTAGCAGGAATTTATGTTATGCAGTGTATATTTTAACCGTCCTTGAGATTTCCGCCAATCTAGCTTAAGAGGGGAAATGATGTTGGGACCAGTATTTTTAGCCGTAATTTTAGTTCATTTTAAAACTAATTCTTACGTTTCAATTGTTTACATCAATGAGAAACAACGACAAGATCCTGTCAAATTTAAAGTATGGAAGCTGTGTAAGTAATTTACACAACCTATTTATAAAAAAAAAAATCAAATTTATCATTAATAAAAAATACACTCCAGATAATCTACTTGCTACTAGACTAGACCAGTATAAAAACGATCAGCGACTAAATCACAACTTATGCATATCTGTTCGTCAAAACGTCAGCTTTTCCGATATGTTCTTTAGAGAGGCCATTTTTGCTATGTAAGAATACATTTGAAGACTTGATTTTTCTGTGTTCACTGAATATATGATAAAATCCAAAGAAGCATCTGCAATATTATTGGTCCTGACCTAGCATCTCGGTTTTACTGCACCTTTTCTATAATCAGTTTCATGGTAATTCTGCTGATGAACCTTCTTCATTGGTACCTAGACTTTATGAATTTCAGCGCAGTACTATATTGGTGTCAAGGTCTCATTTCACAGTTGAATATGTTTAGATGTAACCGTAATTTCTATGCTAACAGTTTCTTCTATCGCGCTTTTCACTTTTGAATCTCACTTCCGGTTTCTTTCTTCTTAGACAACTTTGATCTTCAAAAACTTAAATGCAATGTCAATCGTCTTCTTAATTCCTGTTCTTTTATTGTTATCTCCCTTTAATAGTATATTTTTTCTCATATTTTCTAACACTCAGTAGCTCCTTCCGTCTTAGTGGCTTTATTGCCTTCCTTGTTTAAAAAATATACATTTAATACACATTTTTTAAACAATTTAATCAGTTGTATAATGTCAATAGGAGTCTGAATAATTTTGAAATTTGTCGTAACATGACTGCGCTACACGACACACGTATTTTCTTTTGTCAAAAGAACTTTACTGGAATATATTCAATTATCTGTATTTTAAACAATCTGTGCATATCTGCTAACGATAGTTTTGCTAAATGCTTGATTTGTATTCATATATTTTCTCTTGTGTTATGTTCTTGCATAAAAAATCTTGTTCGTGTTGGAAAATATTAAATACTAGCTTAAAAGTTGACCTAGCGAGCGGCATTTAAGTTAGCTCCTGTAGAGGGATCTTGATTAGGCCTTCCTCATAATAGGTAGAGAGGAATATATGCGATAGGCAACAATAAACTACAGA